AACTACGGATACAAATCAACAACAATTAGTAAAATCAACTGTACCCCATTTTGGTTACAGTATGACTAAAATCTTGCACCATGTAAAACTTTTTTTTAATACTTACTACCAGTTACCACCATAATGGCTTAACTCACTCTTCCACCAGCCTGACATCTAATTTTCTGTGTCTTCTCTTGAATCTCATCTCTATGTTACAAAATGACACCACTTTTGAGAGAAAACTGCCACACTCATGATCAAAGCAGTACAGAAATAAACTACCATCACAAGGAGCTTTAGAATGAGAATCTAAAAACAATAGACTCCTTAAGCTCAGGATTAAAACGATGTTGGTTATTGACAACTGCACACGACAAACATTTATTTTACATCATGATATAGCAACAATCATCAGACATATAAAAAGTACCCCTGTTTTCTGTTTCCACTGGACTGGCACACTAAACTCTCCAGCCATACATAGTTAGGTGCTACACTAGACTGGCACAGAGATACCCAGGAATCTCTCTCCACCACGGGAGGTTTTCAGAACAAGCTAGACAAACACATGTCAAGAATGATTTGGTGTAGCTGATCCTGAGAAAAACTGACTAGAGAGATGATCTCTTAAGGTCTCCACCAGTCTCATTTTCTAAGTTCATACACACATACAATTCGTTTGTCATGAAAAACATTTCCCTGTAAAGTTTCAAACAGTTTGGCTGAGCAGCTGGATTACAGCTGTCCTTTAGAAGCCAGTACATCCATGTTAATAGGGCAATCCAATACTCAGGGGCATCCAAATGCCTAACAAAGCAATTTTATTATGAGTAAAACGTCACCTGAGCGCTCTGTAGACAAAGAAATGAAACCTTGTCCCCCAAGAATTCCCTAAGACAGACAAACCTTTCACAAAGCACAAGCTATAACAAAATAGCAAACCCAACACGTCTTCAGGTGGCAGCCTGCCAGAGGTGGGCTGACATGTCAAGAGCATGCCACTGCATACACGTTAAATTCACCAAACTAACCACTCATCTGTTACCACCGTGCTTCAGAATGTACACTAAAGGCCTCACCACAGCAATTCTATAGGAGAGATGTTCACAGCAGCAGCAGCCTGTCAATCCATCTACAGCTATAACGTAAGCATGCTGATTTTTAAAGGATGCTCCATACATACACACATACCACAACTGCTGATTTTTTAAAGGGCCTCTTTTTCAGAAGATTCACTAATAGTTACTTGCTCTGGCAGCAGAAGATTTTTTTTTTTTTTTTTTTTACCTTGGTATTCTGCAACTGTGCAAGGCTTGTACAAGCATTTGCGAGAAGAAAATCTCCACTTAAAACAGCCATTTTATTTCCAAACTGCATATCTTTCAGTGGGCCATCGCAGGACTTGAGCTCGCCAATATTCACTATGCCACGATGCACCAGAAAGGCCGTGTGGATCAGTTCCGTAATCTCGGCCAGACTTCTTTGACTGAAAGCAAAGAAGAAGTACAATTATTTTGATGCTATGAATAAAACATAGATTTGGGGGGGACGGGGGGAACAACCGCATGTGCTAAAGAGATACTTTATGAATTATTGTGTAGCTCTTCTATGTACTTCTAGAAGCCCCAGCTGGAGGCGTTAAGCACAGAGAGCTATCACTAAGTATTTCCAGGTAAGCCACGGGTACCACAGGTTCCATTTGGAGGAAGACTGCCCTTTGTTTGAATTCTTTCACGAAATAAAGCTAAGTAATCAATACAGTCCTCATGGTGCTTTCTTTTTTTATTTTGTCTTCTGGAAGCTTGAGGGACACTGACATGAAGAAAATGCCATGCAGAAGTACTGATGGGAAAGAACAAAGGACGTTATCAGCAGGGGAGTCGTGAGCAAGCCGATCGGAACACCGTAAGAATGCTGCAGTCAATGACTGCTCAAATCAGAGTTAAATTAATAACAGGACACCTTGCAGTTCAATAATACCAAGGGAGGAGGGTGCAGGGGGGAGAGGAGAAACAGCTGAACATTTTAAAATTGTGCACTAACGATATTCCACTGGTTGTTTTAATCAGAAGAAGCAAAGCTGATTGTCCAGCAAAGGGGCAGACTCAATTTTATCTGGATAGGTTTACAAATCACTTCTTCTTCCAACACACAGTGTGCCACATTCTGAATTCTGGGGTTTCAAATCCTTCTGAGATGCTTGCCACAGAAGTTATCCCATAGAGGCTTGACCTCTATTTATTTTCATTTTTTGGAAAAGGCATGAAAAGAGTCATTAGCACAGTGCTCTCCTCCCCTCCTCCCGTAGTTCAGCCCTGTAGCCCCCGACAGTTAGCGACTGTCACTTCAAGCAGCCCAGAGATGTCACCTTCGCTCAGAACTACAACAGGGCGATGAACAGACATAATGACTGAGCAGGGACGAGGGGAGAAGAGAGCAACGCACTGGAGCATCCTCTTAACTCTGCAAGCCCAGATACACACAGGCCCCCCCTTTATGAAATTTTCAGCACATTCACATCTTTTCTGACTCCAGCAGTTCCCTTTATGTCAGGGAGATTCCACATATGAGCAAAAATGCAACGTATGCCCTCAACTAGACAGATGATGAAAAAGCCCTTAAAGTTCAAATTGAACTGCAACCTAGCACAAAGGCATGTTATGTTATGCTCCCTGGGCTTATTCAAAAATGGCCAAGCACCGATCCATCAACAAAACTGCTTCATGCAGTCACACACCCACGATACATGCTCAGGTTAGATTCTGCTTCAGTATTGGCACAGTACTGAGTAAATTAATACTGTTTCCTCTGGACAGTGCAGATGTGTTGCAGCTACCCCAATTGATAGTAATCTAAGGGAACCTTCTGCCCCAAATGTATCTGACCCGCGAAGAGCCCCAGCAGCAACAGTTTCAGGCCAGTGATCTGTGCCAATTAGCAAGAGGGAAGAGCTAGTGAAGCCACACAGCCTGGGCAGGCACGAAGAAGGTAGGCGAGGTGAGGGCAAAGGATAAACAGATGTTCCCAACATATTTTGTCACACACAAAAAGACTAAGCTGTTTTAAAAGCTGCCTTTATAATTCACTATTTTAGCTCCATGCAGAGAAAAACAATCCGAAAAAAAACCAGCTAGCCATTCTCCATGTAGACAACAAAATTGAAGGTTGATGCTGTTTTTCAAAGAGGCGAGGGAGAGACGCACACAACCCACAGCCGCAGCATTGTAATCATGCTTGGCTCGGCTCTGACAAAGGGTTAATAAAATTTCAAGCTCGGAGAAAAAGACTAACAAGACATCCCGATGCTCCTGCTGTCATTGTCAGGGCAGCCCTTGGAGGAAATGTCCATATCAATTCAGTTTATCAGATGGACAGCTGATCAACATTAAACAGACTTGCTCTGGGCAGACTGAGCCGAGCTACCTGTTATGAATAGCAATGAGAGCCCTCTGCTCCCTGCTGCCGAGCTCTGCCATTTCCGACCGCCGCCGATCCCAGGACATATGGGGATCCCTAGTGACGAGCACACAAAGCTGCAGCTAACTCCAGCGACGGCTCATTTCCCCCAGCTGAAAGCAGGCATTAATATCCTGAGGAGATCAGGCCCGCCTCTGTGACCCCCAACCACTGAAGCGAAACGACGACTGTCCTATTTCTTCATTTAATAAGCTTTTAATGAAGGAAATCAAAATCCCCTCTTCGACTTCAGCATCGCTCTTGATGAAAAGGTTACACAAATACATCAGTGTCATGCTTTCCAAATGCTCAGGATCTGGATGTTTTCATTTCTTTTTCTATAATCCGTTTGTTCTCCAATCGGTATCCATATTATTTGTGCTAACGAGAACCACATTAGGCAGATAATCTGCGTCTAATTCTGATCTTATACCTTATAATATCTTACATCTCTTCCACCCTGTCTCTCTAGCAAACTAAAAATATAAGAATCAAAGCTATTGCAGAAATCCCGGGGAACAGATTTCTTAATGTTTCTTGTGATAGCCCCCATAACACCCAGGCGCAGTAAGGTGGTCCACAGCGCTGCTACGGATACAGAAGGGTACTTGACACGACTTTGTAAAGGCCAGCATTCAAACAAAAAACCCCACTGTTATGAAGTTGCTCCTGAATGGCTAAAGCAATACGATATACAGCTTTCTTGAGCTAAAATACAATTCAGTGATTAAATAATTTTGTACTGGAAGCAGCTAGTCCCAAAATGCAAAAAACTAATGTTTATGCAATGCTGGACTTAGAACATACGACAGAGTACAAAAGCAGAAACAACAGGGCAGCGGGATTACGAACTCCTACTGCTTCCACCCTGTTCCCACTCCAGAACCCAGGACCATACAAGAAAGAAGCGGCTGCCACAAGAATTACCTATACAGCAAGGTAGTACCAAGAAAACTGTCAGCATTTTTAGAACACTTGAAGCAGGCTAAGAATCAGGAAAGCTTTTTCACCAAATCCTAATATACTTCCATGGCCTTCCCCACTGAAGCAAGAGCTCCCTGCAAACCATCACCAGACACTTACAGGTATGACGCTTTGAGAGATGATGCTATTTTCAGCTTCCCACATGCCCTAATCTCCTTTTCTTTCTCCCCTTCCAAAAATCAACCCACCTGCAGGAATGGTTGTTCCAAAAAGGATGGTACAGAGGCTTGGACAGTACATGTGGGACCTTACTAAGAAGTTTTGATGTGTCACAGTCAAACAGGCACAAGTTCCACTGTTGGGTGCATTATTTCAGCAGCGTTAATTGTGAAACACACTCCCCTCCTCAACCGAGAGAATACCAGAACGGTTGAGGTTGGCAGGGGCCTCTGGAGGCCACCTAGTCCAACCCTGCTGCTCAAGCAGGTCCACCTAGAGACACTTGCCCAGCACCATGTCCAGGCAGCTTTTCAGTATCTCCAAGGATGGAGACTCCATGACCTCTGTTTCTCGAAACAGGGCAACAGGACATAGTGCCTCACTACCCTTTCAAGTCAATTACTACCTACCACTTCAGTGAATACTTTTTTCCTCTCTTCCAGTCTCTGATAAGATCCTCAGACTTGTTCTTGGCTCTCTTCTTTTTTCGCTCTACTCTTTACTTCAGAAAGATCTTAATTCACAGACTCATGCCTGTGGCATGCAAAAGGGAACAGCACGTAAGTTGCCTCTTGTTTTTCTGCTCTTGACTCCTTGCTCCTGCACGTTTAGCACCAGTGTAACTAACCTACATCTCTGTCAAATGCTTGTTATACAGCATCCCTTGCGTTACAAGCTCCTTAAGCCATAAATGTCATCCTGGAAAGTACAAAGGAAACACTATCTGTATGAGTAACAACAAGAGTCTTCAGCAAAGTCCACTGGAGCTGTATTGACTCTAGTACTGTGAAACACCAGCTTGCATGACAATACTAGAAAAATGCAAAATCAAGTTATCTAGACAACTAGATCCTGCAACAAGTAAAACAAGTGCAATTTCTACTCCTCCTCTTTGCTCCCCTCCCCCAGGGAAGGTACACAGATCACTGACATTCAAGTATGTTTTGGTGAACTTTGATAAACTGCTGAGAAGACTTCAAGAAATCCTTCATATCTGCCCTTATAAAGCAACGCAGCAGCTGCAATATCCTGCTGCTGCAACACCAAAGCAAGGACTACAGGTTTTGTAGAAACCCCATGCTCATACAGGCACCACCTCTACAGAGAAAAATAAAGAACTAATGGAGAATCTTTGTAAATATGCTTCTATCTCAAAAAATGCATTTCACAATTTCCTATTTCTATGCCTTGGAGTCTCCCTCATCACAGTATCACTGTTACTAATGGTCTTCTTATGGAGATGAACATCTCATGCAGAATTCAGCACAAATTTTAAAGCCTACACAAAATTGTATGACAAAATATTGAAACAAAAATCTATAGAAACAAAATAGGTTTTGATAGTAAATTTCCTATGCAACTTTCTAAAATGAATTTTGCAGCGTTCCTTCCTGGCATCCTGAATACCCTCTTTGTCATTTGTATTATCTTTAAAGGCTTGCAGCTATGAAACATTAGGCAATACGATCTCTTTAAGAGTTCTTGTAAACGACTTCAGTCCCTAATTTCAAGTCCTACTCTAAAAAGAAATAATAGCATCTTGCAAAACACATGATAAAATAGAAACTAAATTAAATAGTGAAATTGTATTGCTGTGAACCAAAGAGTACTTCAGCTTAAATAATCCTCTGCAATATTTGTGACAGAAATTCAAGCTCTCAAGTAACAGCAAGAAAACTTGAGCCAGTTTACCTTTCATTATCAGCTAATCATCAGAACAACACCGGCCCTCTTCAAAGGATGATACGTTATGCAAAGAACCATTTAATAATTTAAAATGTTCATAGTAGGCATAATGTTTCACAGAAACGGACCAAAGACTTAAATTAGCCACTAAAATCCATATTCTAAAATTTTCAGCAATGGAAGAAACTGCAATAAACTGAA